ATCCAAATTGTAATTTTTATTATATTTTCGCCACGAAATAACGGGCTAGTGGGATAAATTGTAAATATCGCTTTAATATTTAGGTAAAATAGTTGGTAATTGGTTGAGTTTTGAATTAATATAAGAAACGTAGTGTATAAATATGAAAAATTCGTTTAAACGTCCCGTTTATGAATCAACGTGTCGCTGATTGATATGTAAGTGCAAAATCGAGAGCAAAATTGTTTTAGTAAATGTGTAAATTGTTTGAAAACATGTGATGTACGAAGCTGTGAAATGGGTTGCACAAAAGCACTAACACAGATGTCTTTTGATATCTGCATTAACAAAATTACAATTAATAAAATTATTATTACATTTTATTTAAAGAAAAGTCAGTAAGCTGTACTTACAGCTTTCGATTTCTATATTGCACAGTTGTCGATCCATAGGGAAATACTGAAGATTCATGGGGCAGGAAGCTGTTATTGTTAATCTGAAACAAAAATAAGATCATTAACGCGACGTCTTCTTGAGCAATTTTAATGAGGCAACTTCGACCACTCGCCATACAGTCCCGATCTACCGTTAAGTGATATTTTTTCTGAATTGAAGAAAGGCATCAGCGTTTTCAAACTAACTGGTGATGAGCAAAGCGAGACGAACTTTTATTGGTCTTTTTATTCGATTTTAGTCTTGGCTTTTCTCAAATGTTTCTAGTCTTGTTCTTGATCCACCGAAAGTAACAATTTTTGGTTTTAGTCTTGGTCTTGGTCGTTCGGTCTTGGTTTTACCCGAGATGAAAATGTTCATTTTCTCAAAGTCTCTGAAAACGAGTCTCCGTCTCTCATCGAGTCTCTCTGGTGTCGCTGAGAGAGACTGTCAAAAAAAACTGTTTAGCGTCTCTGAACGAGAGACTCGAGTCACTCATAGAGAGATCCTCATTTCGTATCCAGTTTCTGAACAAGAGACTCAAATTTCTGAACGAGAGACTCGAGTCTCTCAATTTTTAAGTTTTATTCATTCAGTCTCTCTGTGAGAGACTCGAATCTCAGAATTAACAATTTTATCGTTCGAGTCTCTCATACAGAGACTGTGAGAGATCCATAAAAACACCTAGGCAATAATTGAGAGACTGTGAAAGACTGTGAGAGACGCTCTCATAGACGCTGAAAGACTCTGAGAAACTGGAGAGAGACTAAAAATTTTTATCTAGAGTAGTCTTGGTCTTGGTCGTTATAAATATCTTTTTGTGTCGTATGAACTATGGAATTTAAAGCATGTGTCTTATTCTCCTGTAAAATCTAGTAGCTCGTAAAGGAGTTTAACGTAACTTATCATTAATAAACAATACATTAAAGTTGCGCTAAATACAATTTTTCCGAATTTTCGGTTAGATTCATTGTCATAATTTAGAGAAATGACCTTACCTAATACTCCTAGTAATTGAACCTGAATGATGAATACGAATGAATTCGTTAGAGGTGGTGGCTATGTGGAAGTAAGATTGTTTTTCGTTTACAAAAAATGTGTCAGGCACCCAAATGTTTTTTATAAATTCCGACCCCACTGATAAGGTCTCCACTCCAGGTCGTTTCCTGAAGGCCAGTCTTGGATCTGTCCAAAACTGCCGGAAGTAGAAGTCTAGGGTGAAATCCTAGGGAGAATAAGAAAATATACGATTATAACTTTTAATTCTTATAGGTAATAAAAACGGGAAGGTACAATACAGAAAGAAAAGCAAATCAATAATATTAGTTGATATTTGACTAAAATCATTACCGTGAAATGTTAAATTTGGTTAAAAGTCAATTAATAATTATTTTTGTTTCAGAATCTCGTTCGTTCACAGAAGAAGTAAAATTTTTGGAGAAGTAATGGGTGAGTTTTTGTTTTTGACTTTAATCTGTTTCAACTGAAATATTTTTAACAGAACATTTTTGCAAAAAATTACAAATAACAGTCTTGAACTAGTTAGAGAAGAACGATTATGATTTCAACTGAAAATGCAGAAATACGTTAATTGTACGCCACTTGATAGTGACAGGTAATATATTAAAAACTCAATCAGAAAATAATTAGCAAGCGTTTTCTCAAGGTCTTGTAGTAGTTGTTCGAAACAAGAAAATCAACCTGGTCGGATCAATAAATTGCGGGGCTATCCTTCTCACAGTTGAAGGATATTCTCGACATTTTGAAACGAATCGATTTGCCTTTCAACTTCTGTAGATTCGTTGCTCGATATCATGCCAACATAAGTAATACCTATGTACAAACATGCAGCGGTAGCAAACTATATGGAATTGCAGCAATGCACTTCTGCGTACGGTTCCCATGCAACACGTTTTCTTAAATTGCTTCCATCAAAGCTTCTCCTCGAATTCTACGATTCTGGCGTCTGTCCAACAGTGCACTGATTGTGAATATTAGCTTTTTAAAGTTACGCGGGTAAATCCAATGCGAAAATTTTCAAAAGTTTCATTTATGTATTGAAAAAGATAATTCTATAAATTTCAGTTTAACGCATCCGGAAATCGCAACCAATGTTTTTAGTATAAGTAATACACCTAACCTAACAAATTTTGCGGCTTCACGCATGTTCTAAAAACATCAGCTATGAATAATTGTTCCTTCAATTTAAAAATAATTGAAATTAAACTTTTAAATAAATAATAATGATTAACTCATCGTTTTTTTNCCAAATCAAACTAGTGCCCTAGGCCTGCCCGCTTGCTTCCAATTCTTTATTGTTAAGTATTTGTCATTGTAGTTTTAGCGGGGGCGCAGGACGAGCATTCTCTAATAAATTTAATTCAAGAAAGTATCCTACGGAAAATCTAGAAAGATCCTTTTGTAAAGCAAAACTACAATATCATAAAAGAATGCTTATTCTGGCGCTCTAGTAGCTTGCAGAAAATATTAGTTTGTAATTTTCGTTTAATTAAAGACAAAATATAATTAGTTATATACTTATGATCCCCTTTTGACATGTGCGCCTACAGTACACGCTACACGGACTTATATGCATGCAACGTGCGTTCATGCATTCGAACAATTCGTTCAATAATAAGTGCGTAAGGTGCTGGCAAATCACTGGGGGGTAGGTGGGGGGTTTACTGATGACAGTAGGATGACTCGCGCGCTCGACTGAGCTGGCGAAGGGGGCAGACCAGGGTCACGTCTTGAGGTGACCTTAAAACATTGATTTGGTTTCCATCGGGGTTGAAACCCGGCATCCTCAAAAAGTGATTGGCTATAGTGGGTCGCAGCCCCCAACCACATATGTATGTACACTTACTTGTCCGAAGCAACAGACGTGTTAAAAATACGAACGATGCTATCGATTTTTTAAATTGACTATTTTTGTGCAAATTTGTACTTGTACAAAGCATATTTATATACAGGGTGTTCCAAAATAAATTTTTAAAATGGTACCACTTGGTTGTTCCTCTTCGGTTTTTTAATAATAATTATTATTGGTAATTGACAAGTACTTAAAAACTGAAATTGTTAAACGATTTATGCGCTGGCAAGAATATGGATTCTTTTTTACTTTAAAAATTAAAAAGCTAAATTTCTGTTTTGCGGAACACCGTCGTTTATGTGTATGTTTTTGTTTAGTATGTCTCCTAAGTTTGCGCATCGATGTGCTCATCATGTAGGCCTATTTGTACCGTTCTGGTTATTGTCTCCTAAACGTATTTGTATTTAGGCACTTTCAGCCTGATTAGATTCCTTTATTATGTCCCCTTTTCTAATAAGGAAATGCTTTTCAGGCATAGCAGCAACTTTTTTTAGTTGTTACGTCTATTATTCGGTATACTTCATCCTCTCTAATGGATTTCTTTGAAGTTTTTTACGACTTTGTCAGTTCTGATTATATAAGGCCAACCTTTTAATTTGTACCTTTATAGTAAAAACACCAAAAAAAGTTCATTAGTTCTATCGTCGCCTTGTGTTACCAGTTATATGCGATATCACATTATCAAATTAAATTAGTTAGAAAATAGTTATGATCTTTTTTTAATTGCCTAAATTACTACCTATCCAGAAATACTGTGAATAAAATTTCGATTCTTAAAAAACTCCCTAATTTTTTGTGTAGGTAAGTAGGTATATTTGTTTGTTATGAATTTCTTTTGGCGTTTTCATCTACATTAGACGCACAAAAAAGCACAAGAATGACAGTGCATATTTATTACGTCCATTTTATCCAGGCGTACAGGCATGTTGATTTTTGAGGTTATTCTCAACAGAATATTTTTGAGATTACTCTTAACAGAATTGCTATTTCAGTATTCATAAATAATAATCTGTTAGTCACTGATTATAAGAGAGAACTGAAGAAATTATTTATGTGGAATAAATAAGTCCATATATTAAGTGAAACTTAAATATGGTGGTGTGCAAGTGAAGGGGGAAAATTATCGTTGATTGGTTCATCGCCCGCAGTGGAATATGTCAGCAGAATGTGGAAGTCATCTATTTGGTATTTATTGCTATTAAAGTATTTTAAACAATAGGCAAGACCTTACTGAGGTATTTTACCTAATGCTTGAAATACTTTAGTAGCAGGAAATACTCACTAGGTAGCGTTATACTGCCTGTATTTAGAGAATACAGTAACTTGCTCGCTTGAGATCAAATGAGATCGGAATTACGATCGGGGCCTAATAGTTTTGATAAATTTTTAGCCAAAGACGTAAAACAAATTCAATAATCAATTGCAGTTGATAAATGCAGCAAGTTTGTGTGTGAAAGTGACAGAGAGAGAGGCGGACGGGGAAAAAGAAATAATGGGCTTTAAGTGATGTGACCTTTACGCCTGGATAGATGGCGACACATGTCGATAGCAAAGTTTGTGCTTTCAACTTGCGTGGGGCTACGCGACCAAGCTGGCAACATATTTATATAACAGCCATGCACACAGTCGAAGTATTCAAGACTGCGAAAAACATATACAGAGTACACTTATTACGATATCCCGGTCACTTGATACAATACAATAATAGTAATAATAATAATAATAATAATAGTAGTAAGTATTATGTGGGTAATAGAGATATACACATCATCTTGTATGCTGAATGTATTATATATGTGGCAGTAGTATTAGAGTTATTACATTGTTGCATGTGGACAACACGAAAAAAATAGGCGAGATTATAGGTTGATAAATACCATGAGCACTTCGGAGACGGAGCTGATACTGAGCACGTACATGGTGACCCCTACCTCGACGGGAGGGCCTGCAAGCGCAAACAGCCTTTGTGTATGAAAACCAAATCAAACTAGTGCCCTAGGCCTGCCCGCTTGCTTCCAATTCTTTATTGTTAAGTATTTGTCATTGTAGTTTTAGCGGGGGCGCAGGACGAGCATTTTTATTATCAATTTATTATCAGTAGTATACGATATATTAGTAATAACAGTAATAATTATAAAAATATAATAAAACAACAGACAAAAGCAGCTGCTCCAAAGTGGACGCACGACTTTGTGATACAATAAGTACCTCGAGTGACCCTGTTTTATTTTTTTTTTCGTCAAAGCACGAAACCTAATCAAATTTTATTAATTATGATATTAATTACTGCCAATTTTTCTTTGGAATGATTTTGAAAGGATAAAGGAAATACTATGATAGACAAATGACTTTAAATATAAACCGTTGAGGAATTAATTGATTCTAAGCATAATCTTAAAGAAATATATTTTTTTAAATTTTGAATTATAAAATTACTAAACTGTCTTTTTTAACAATTTGTTTAATCCAAAAACTCGCAAAATTGATCAAGTTGCATCCACAGCTTAGTCAAAATTTATTCAGAATTCAATGGTGAGATAGCAACAATAAGACATAATTTTTATATATTTTTTTATAAGTATGTGTTAATTAATTTGCAGCAAATAAGAAAATATTTACATTTCACCGTGCGCTTTCTGCCGCAACGCGTATGAAATTCATATTCAGACATCCCAGCATTGCGCAGTTTGTGCTTTTTATTTTCTTAAATGTAATATTGAAAATAGAACTAATTTTTTGGTAGAATTATGATTCGGGCTTAAGGACCTTGGTCTAAACGAACTGTTTGACCATTGCGTGGTAGTGCGTTGACAACCTGGAAGTAGTTGCCAAGACTTCGTTCAACTACCGATGGAACTTCTGGACCTAACAGCTGATTTAGACCACGATCTCTCAGCCCGAATTCCGGCCGTGAAAGCCTACTTTCATGTATTATTGACCTATCAATACTAGTATTGACTGATTAATGAATAATTTGAGACATATCAGTAGATTTTGTGCGTCGTTTTTAAAAAGAAAGCAGCGTCACTGTTTTATTATCAATAACAGACATAAGCCACTTGGACAAAGAGCAAAAACGCTTGAATTATTATCAGTATGCGTTCGAATTGAACCTGTACAAGAGGGGACGATTTGGCTGCGTTCGGTGGTACATTTCTGTGTGTTTTAGCCCGCTTCCCCAAACCGCCAAGCGCGCGAGGGTTAATAGTCAGGCTAGCAGTTAACAACTCTATAGGATAACTACAAATGCGTTAGTACCATTTTCACTTCTGAGAGGGAACTGATGCTTAACACGTACATTGTCACTCCCACTTCTACTGGCGGACCTGAAATTTCACCACATCACTCGACGATCCAAAATCCTCCACTCTGAGGAGCGTCACGATGAGCAAAATGAATCCAACTAACGGAACGTCGAAAGACCACAAAATTTCCCTATCAAATTTTAGGAAATTACGTTCACTTTTCGGATCTTAATTAGATATATAATTTTCCCAAATACTCTACTAATAATATTCAAAGTTTATCCTGAAACCTTCGACTAGATTTGATTATAATTCTTTAACAAAGGTAGTAGCCGTTTAAAAAAGTTGTAAATAGACTTTTCTCAAACAGGTCTACGTAAAAATCAGGGTAATAGACGAAATGTTACCCCCTCGCAGGTTATTTTTAGTATCATTGGGCGGTGCTACTGGAATCTACCTTATTTTAGAGCATTGTTTACATGCCGCTTTTAGAAAAACATCTGGTCGAGATGTTCAGGGCGTCTCTGCCCAAAAAATTATCTTAGTATGGTCTTTCCACGTTACGTTCGCTACACATTTGACGTAGACAAAAGAAAACTTTTCGATTTCTATTTGTCCAAAATTGAGATCTTCACGACGAGCTTTGCGAGCGATATGGCGGTCTGGAGATAGATGCTGCGCGTCGCCTAGCAACCCACCCTAGGATCGATTTGATCTGGCCCCACCCTGTCGAAACAACTGAACTGCCTCGACGTCCAGAAGCGGCAGCAGCAGTACTATTAATTCCCTTTTTCCCCAACAAAAATAAAAAAAAATCCCTCTAACTTCCATCTCACCCGCGCAGTAGAGTATTTACAAAATTGGATAATGTCGAAATGAAGTTTTAATGGAACGATCACTTACCTCCGTAGTTTGGTCTTACTCTTTTGTCGTAGCTTACGCTAAACGAATCAAGAATTGCGGATATGTTGACGTCGCCTAGCATGCTTCCTCCAGGCGTTCTGCAACAACGTAGAAACATTTAGACTCCCACACAAACCAAAATAGATCAGTGCCGAAAAAGGCAATCGATTATTAGGACTTTTCAAAACAAAGAAATCTAATGCCATTGTAGTACGTGTGACAATAACAAAAGCGTGAATTTTCTCTAAATTTATAAATGAAACTGGGTAAAGGCTTTTTGAGAAAACTATTGAAAATCATTCTGTCCAGTTGCCACATCCTAACTTTCGGCTCTGGTCATGTACATCATAGGTAATTGTTCCTTAAAGCTCTACTTGCTAATGGTAAAGCTAAACAAGCAAGCAAGTTTTAATTCAAACACAATCATTCGGTGCACGTCGGAATGGATTTATTTTTTATATGCAATAGATAGTGTCAATGCATAGAAACATTTCGAAGATATGATTTAGAGAAGCTCACATGTGATAAGCTTAGTATCTTCTTGTACTAACTAAAATCATAAGCATAAACTACTTCGCATTTCTGTTTGATCTGAAGATGTGTGGGTCATCTGGTGTGTCAACAAATCCAAACAAGAACTTATTGAAATGCTGTTATTGTTGCTAGTATATAAAGAATGTTTTGTATGGGATTTACTACCACAAGGAGGTGTTGAATTTTAACATGAATGAGATAAGTGTTGCTACTCGCGAACATGCAAGGGTAGACGAAAAAATTTATGTAAAGTGGTTGTAACTTAATGTGATTGCTTTTGGACATTGCGGAAAGGATTGACCAAGACGTACTTTATGGATGGGAATTTTGGCATAGATGTAAATGAGTAGCCAAGAAGAAGAAAAGGTGTACTTACGCGGTTTTGGCCTGCTGGACGGCGAGGACCAGCAGGAAGGCTGGCCATACCACCCAGCTGAGCCCCATGGCTGGGGGCAGCTACACGTGTCTTTTGCTCATCGGCGTAACAACACACTTCACCAGCAAGACTGTCGTGTCTCATTGGACTGTGATATTAGGAGTGGTCTCCGGGTAAAGCTAGCTGACAGTCTTTTGCGCATGATGGCAAAGCAAGTAACTCGCCCCAGCTATGAAACAACCCTTCTTTCTCTCGCATTCCGTTTCTCTTCAACATATCGATCTCCTTCCCGTCTGTCTCGTTCGGGAAAGGAAAGGGAAACGCAGCCGCGAACCTGGACCAGGACTAATCAATAGCCGGGGCCGCGATTTTAGTTATTGCTCATCGTATATGACGTAATAGAAGTCAACACGACCCGATACCTGAACTCGTCTTTCCCCATCATCGAGAGGTTTTAAAATCGAGAGCACCCTCGAAACAAGAGCTACTTTAACACTCGGATGGAGGAGCTTCCATCAATAATAATCCAAACAGCTTTGTAAACGGAAATTTTCAAGTGTCTAAATGCAACTCTTTGATGATATGGGACGCGAGCCGACGGCGATGGCGGTCGCCCTTGGGGTCATCACGTGACCTTTCTTTCCCATTCCGCACGCACGGAATAATTAGCAGCAAAAAGCCAATAAAAGAGCAACGGGTACTTATGCATGAAGTTACACTCTTCTCTCTTACCTTCCATACATTGCAAATACGTACAAAATTATCGTACTTCAGCCTGGTCAAGGATAATCATCGTTTATACCTTTCGGACTACATATGTACATATGTACACACATATCGCTGCATATGTGGTAAATTATTTAATTCTCGCGTTGTGCTTTTCATTCAGCAGCGCGATGCATTTCGCGTAACCTTTACCCTTTCCGTATATTACAAATGGAATAACTTGATGTTCGTTAGGTACATGTATCTCACAGGAATTGCTTTAGCATTCGCATGGTCTCAATTGAAACAGAATTGCAACTAATTCAAGCAAATTTATTTTATAGACGTGAATTTCTACGGTTATGAAATTTAGGCAAGCAATACACTTCTTACGAAAATGTAACTGCACTACTGTCTGAAAAGGTCAAATTCTTAAATACTAAAAAATTCTGTTCTCCACTTTTATTTGTCAGTAGAAGTACTTGCAGTTGTACCTAACTCGAATCAGAAAACATAATCCTTAGATCACTTAGGGGTAAGTTTGTATGCAATTGTAATAATTTTTAGAAAATTGGTATAACACACCGTATCTAGATCTGCCAATTTCCCACCATGCAATTTCAATAATTCACCCCAATCGAATTTCTGGAACAATTGAATCAGTTCAGTTCTATTAATAAACAATTGCACTTTTAATTAAATTCAATCGCGCTGGAATTAAGTTCTAATTAAACAACTACCTGCTAACAACATTATTAGAGCAGCATTCAATTTATTATTATTATTATATTAAAAGCACTTTATTACCGTTTGTTAATTGCAAAAATAAAGTCGAAAAGTGCATGGGTGAGCTTTTTACATGCATATATTCCTTTGTATTTCGGGGAAGTAAAACGCATAAAGTCAAAGTGCATACTACATCATTTAGATATGAAAAACCTTTTTGTTTTCCGTTGTGAAAAAGCGCCTTTCTTTTTGTATAAAAATTCCTTTGATGGTCATCGTATACCATCGTGTATGATGATATTCAGTTATAATAGGTGCCTACACGTAATGCACACTTTTAAGAAAATTAAATTCGTTTTAAAGTCATGTCATTTTAATTAAAAATAAAACATCTTTTTATAATTAAAATTTTCGTGTCTTAAATCCTTTGGAAAATTTTAAAAGCATCTGTATGTCTGCATCTATACATCTATATATACATACAGATAAAACTGAAGTGTCTGTATGAATAACATTTAATTAGCTGCCTTTCCTTAAGCTTATTTATGCATATGTTACTGGAAATGTATGAAATCTAGGAATTGTATACTATTCCTAGGAAATGTATTCAATTCCGAGGCTACTTAGGAAATGTATAAAATATTGTTTCAAAGATTCTTTAATACACACATATCCTGGATTGTATGAAATTCTGATATTCTACTAGGAAATGTATAAAACTAATGCTTTCTGTGAATAAAATGAATAAACACGTTAGTAAACTGAGAGTCAGAGTTATCTGTGTTTACGCGGTTCTAGTGCGATCACCTGATGTATATGCATTGGTGACATTATTGTTTGGTTAGGTTAGGTTTGGAGATGTATATGAAATAGTGATGTTATTGTATGGTTATTAGGTAGATTTATGATGGACTGGAGTTTCTTTCACATTATTCTAACATGTAGCATATCAGGGGGCAGGGGTATTAAAAAAAACTCCAGTCTGTCATAGATCTCCGTAACCAAACAATGACGTCACCAATTGATAGAGATACATGTCCAAAGAGCCTGCCGTAATATTGCCTATTTAGTATTACCTGTAATACATTTCCGATTGCTATTTAGGAAATGTACAGATTTCCTAGGAAATGTGTCTAATATAATTTATTTCACAAATTTCCGGGCGACTTTAGTAATTATATACATTTTTTAGGAATTGTATACAATTTCCGGTAACATACATACATAGGTATTTGCCTGTACGAGCTAATCTTCAAAACGGCTAAAATTAATTAATTACCTATATATATTGCATGTAACAATTCAGATTTCACTTGGACAATCTCGAATAAAGGTTAATTTTACTACACAATTGGTTAAACAGGTCGTAACTTATACCAAAAAATGGTATTATTTGCCGATTATAGTATCTTGATTTGGACATCGCAATCGAATTATATCAAGTGAAAATATTAAAAATTCCTACGTGATATTAGCATCAAAACATATCGTCATATTTTTTACAAAACAGAAAAATAATTGTTTTAATACAATTACTAAAAAATATCAATTCATGGTAAAATTAAGAAATCCAGACGTTTCATTTTTAACTTCTTCAGTGACGATACATCCTTCTGATCAAGAAAGACAATGTAGGTGAAAACACAAAATGCCTAGTTTCACATTTTTCTTCAGCTACGACCTACATAGAGATAATTCTTTTATGTGAAATATATCGCCGGCTGAGACCGCTATACACTTAGACAGTTTGTTCTTGTTTTCCAAGGAAGTTTGTCATTTAAATCCGTTCCAGTATTACCTATAGGTAACGAAAACGTATGGTTTTCGTAATCGAAAATCCATATTCAAATTTAGAACGTTACTTTCACAGTCACACGATTCCACAGTTTCAACTTTACTCCAAATAGCTGAATCGTTGACCTTCTCTCTGTGTGTGCATCGCGTCAAAAACTTTTTCGAGAGAATGGTGGAAGTGGAGTGTTGACATTCCTTTGTCTGTTCTTCCTTCCCTGGTCCAATGCTAATGATAAGTCCACAGTCTGTCTGAAACGACAATGAAAAACGACGTACTCTATAGTTCTGTCGTTTTAGGTCAGAGTTCAGACATTCAACAATTATCCGTCGCCATCTATGTCTAATATCGACAATATTTTGAGATCTAGTCTGTACGAATTAATCGAAGAAGCAACGGGAGTATTCGTCCTTGTAATATAAATTGGGATCCGTCAAATGGGAGGAGCCTAAAAACATGGCGCCGATTAGGGAAAATTTATCGTAGTTCCTATAGTGTACCGTGCAACTTCCAAGTTTTTAAATTACGATAAAATGATAAGTATTGACACAATATGTGATTGGGCTGACACAAAGCCTCGGAACGGAAATTTCGTTGAAGGTGAGCGTGTTTTTAATGCCAATCACATTATAAAATTCGGAAATAACAAATCCGGAAGCTAGCCTTCAAATTCCGTCAAGTTTACTGCCTACTTTTTACAAACTTCGGATTTAAAAAGTGATTCACGTTATATAATTGGTGAGGTGATTCTGGGTGATTTAAGCAATATCATATCAATGACTTGCACGTGCAAAGCCGATTTAAGAGAACGTTGCAAACACATTATTGCAACTTTGTTGTATTGCAGCAGGTAGGTTCTTAACCTCAAAATACTTATATCGTATCATTAGAATTGTGTTAAATCAATTACACAGGAATAAATAATTTCTCACTTTATAATTTTAGTATGATTCTAGTTTTAAATATTAAGGTTATGGCTGATGGTAAATACTTGCTGAAATATAATCATGTGCATTAAAATGACGTGAACAAATTTTTATTCCGGAATTCACTTCTTTGATACCTACTGCTTTCATCCAAGCTTCTATTAGTTTACTTTTTTCTCTAATTTTCCGAATATATTTTTTACATATATAAAACGGTTAGTTTTTATTGGAAAGTAGTTAATGTAGGTGAAGAGTGAAGATCTATGTCTGAAGTGCTATTGCAGCTTTTCACTGAACATATTAACTTTTTATTTGATTTAACTTTAGAAGAAAACTTCGTCGACTCCATCATCAAAAAAATTTTTACTTTTTTAACGTGTTTTATTATTTTAATAAACAATTTTACAATTTGCGTGCACAGTTCCTATGTAATTTTTTCCCTTATTCGAGTTATAAATTTTGCCACCAGATGGTGTATGCCCATTTGACGGATCCCAATAGAGAGTCATAAATTACTCCTGAGAATTGTAGGTGATAGATATAATTAACACATTTAACACAAAAATACACTGTGTACATTAATTTTTTGAGAACTGTTGTTATTATTATTTTATTCCTGTACTTCTTGTATCAGGCCGTAAAATATTATCGATTAGATACTTCCGGAAGTTTCCTTTTGTTGTCTTCTTCTGTCAGCATGCGGGCGCATAAATGGTGCCGCCAATATCGATCGCCTGCGGCATTTGTTGAAAACTGTACGGCGAATCTCGTTCTTCCTATAAGATGGAATTTTAAATTTTTTTGTTTTTAGCTACCCCTTTGATCGATAAATAATTATTTTATTTTTTCGAGCTATCTTACTAGTTTTAAAAATCAATGGGTTTTATTTATTAATATTAATAAACTTTCTTACTACCTAAGTACTTAATTATTAAAAAATCTTCAATCAATACCTGCACGAACTCTTGCTTAAACCACAAACCTTAAATTATGTTTATGACTATCGCTTCTAATCGGAAAATACATATCGTACAATGCCGCCAACTCCAACTGTGGTAATAATTAGTTTCATACTGTTCCGTATGTTGTTGCATCTTAGTCGTTTATTTAACTCAGAGTTCTGTGCTTAATACATTGAACTTTTATATTTTCCCGTTTTTTGCTTGTCTTAGGGTTTCACAGTGCACCAAAATCCAACTAGTTCAACTGTCTTGAGTTAGTTGAACTAATCTCGCCCTAATCATTCGGTTTCTTGCTTGTTGTTCTATCTCTTTAGTTTTTGCCACTCGCTTGCCATCCACCCCTTTGCTATTTCCAGCAACTTTAATTAAATCTTCATAGCTGGGCTTAATATTGCATGCAGTGTACGAAATTGTATTGCGATGAATAAAATATTGTTCGGTAAATTATCACATAATAAAAATGTGTTGCATAACTTTACAAACTAATTGACTAGCAATTTTTTCTTATTTCTTATGCAATGAAATTGAAATAAAAATATTGCTTGTTTATGCTCAGTTGTTTTAAGAAAATGTTTTCAAATCAAAATTAACCTATATTCAAAATTTTTTAAAAATAACAATTTTAGCAGTTTACTTAAATAATTTGTATTAAAAACACATAATATTTTGTACCCTCTCTATACACATAAGTCTCGGAACAATTTCGGAAACAAATACAGAGTCAAATAGTGACCATTTAAACAGACATCTTCTTGTATTTCAAATCCCAATTTTGAGTAAATTCCGTACATGACCCTTATCAGTATTTCCTGGAATCAACAAAGACAGAGCGATAGAAGTTTTGATATCCGTTTCTTACTTCTCATAATTCGCCACGTTCTTGTTAACTGTCTGTTTATATCTTCTATTGGTTTAAAAAAAAACTTTCAAAGACGTCTCACTATTTGTACGCCCTCATTGAGAAAAAAAAACAAATCGATGCTTATAAATACTTTCAGTTTAATTGGATAAGAAATTGCCGAAATCTGAATAATCCAAAAACATCTTTTCTAATAATGGGGGAAACCAAATTAGGCACTTCTCTGGTTCTAATTCAGTTTTCCCTACAAACTTTTTCGATAGATTCATTAATTTGTAATTTTCATTAATAAGAAAAGCTGCACAACGTGGCTAAAATCTGTTATGCTAGGATGGATTTAACTAGCTTTTCTGNAAAGTTGAAAGCTTTTAAGATGTAGTGCAAGCGCAGATGATGAAGATTCCATGGATAGAAGAAGTTAGGAATGAGGAAATATTAGAAAAAGTAGAAGAACAGAGGACTCTATGAAAGTCAATAAGAAATAGGCGAAATAGGTTGGTAGGACACCTTCTTAAGCACAAAGGTCTAGTCAGAGACATATTAAAGGCAGAAACAAGACTTAGGTGAGGCAGAGGTAGACCTAGATTAGATTTCTGTTCGCAAATAATTAAGGATGTGGGCTGTTCTAGTTTTAGGGAAATGCTTAGCTCAGGATAGGCAAGAGTGGAAATGCGTGTCCAACCAGTCATAGACTAACGACTTTTCGATTATGATGGGCTGTACCTAAATCTTACAATTAGTTTAGTTTTTCCCGGTTTTTTGTAGCTTTTTACCTTTTAAGACTCAGTGATATTAATAAAAATCATTCAATAGTAATCAGATGACTGAGGGGAAATATGTAGCCTGTGTAAATGATCAGATCGCTAACTAATTGTAACGTATTATGTGTACATAAATGCCTACGGTTTGTTGGTTTGGTTAAATATCCTTCCACCAACGCTAAATATCTATATGTACTTGAACTTATTGTACATATACGATATACGGGTATCTACACGTATAAATACACACAAAATTATCGGTGAAAATGGACATATCTATCCACTTGGGATTGAAGTCATTTGATGCGTTTTGAACACGCCCTTGTTAAATTTGGAAATGCTTCATGAGTAGTGTGTTGGAATACCTTACAAACCATAATTCGAAAAATTTTATGATTTTTTCGTATTTCTAATTACAGTTATTTTTAATTTTAATTTAATATCTCTTGAGATGCTCCACCATTTAAATATTTAGATTAGAACAAGATTTGAATTCCCTTTGAGATAAGACTTGTTTTTTGACGCATATTTTGGCCTAATATAATTTTCTCCTCGCTAATGATTATTTAAATAAATAATTAATAGAAAGTGCCAGTTAATATGATCTGTTAATGTCCCAAATTTCAAACACCTACAGACACATGAACAAATGAGTATCGGTGTCTTTTTTTCCCTTTCTTAAGGTTTTCAACTCTATCTTTTTTTTTTCTCTTTGTTGTGTCCTTTTCGTTTTCGATAAGGTGTAGACATAAGGGAGAAAAAATATAATTTAACAAATCTCATTTATTATGCTTACTGAATCAGTACAACTTAGTTTGATTTTAATTATCAACAACCAATGTGTTAATACACCCAAACATTTACATTACTAAATACACAACAACGTACGTTTACATTAATAGGCCCTACAAATATGTATGTTCCGTAAATATAAAATCTAAAGATAAATTAAATTTCTACATGTTTGATAGATTTATACTTGTGTATGTGTGTTGCTATGCGCTTGTTCTTGATCGGGACCACTCGCGATTTGATTTGCAGGGGTATAATACTGAAAAGATAACAGAATAAGGCAATATAAATATCAGATAATGATAATCCAATATATAGGTACTTCTCTGATATAAGCAGAACTGTTAGTACTAACAAATGAAATCCGTACGCATGTCATATTTCCGCCTTTCAAGTGTCTTCGACTCGAGTCAACTTATACGCATGCGTCAACGTCTCCCCCTCCCTTTCGCTTGCTACTAACCAACTCATCGACATTGAATCTTTTAAATAATTTACTTGCCTTTTGTTTAAATTTGGTATCTGTTAGATATATCTTCTAATTCGCAATATTTGCAGTTTTTTTATTTAAAAATTGTAGTTTTGATTTTTTTTTGATTCTCCATTAATGAAGATGTAATTTTCTTGTAAATACTTTATTGATCTCGCAGATTTATTCAGAAAATGTATTTATATATTAAGTATATACACTTTTTGTGACTTCAGTAAATAAATATTATGAATGACTACTTGGCAAATGACTATAAATCGTAATTCTTTGTTATTATCGTTGCGTTGTGCATAATAAGAAGGAAAATTAATAATGCATGGTAATTAATCAGGTTTAAAATGTGCGTGTTCGTGTGCTAAAAAAATTCTAAAAAGGAAACATGAAAGTTTAAAAAAATGCCCGCAGTAATTGCTTCAATGAAATTAAAATATTGTCCGATCTTTACTGAGTGAATTTTCTTACCTTGCATCACACAAAATTGAATTAATAATAAAAATTAATTGTCCGACATAATTAACAAAAATTTCTCGAAATAGGGCGGCGCACATAAAAAGAAAATTTAAGTTAAATATTCAGTGGCGTAGCGTAAATTTCTGCCACCCGAGGCGAAGCCTAAATTTGCCGTCCTTCCTATCTTCTTTGTTTATTTTTTATGATGTGGTGTGATTATGTTATTTACTTTTATGATTTTTCTGCAAAATTTGGTAGATTCTGATTTGAACAAATGTGACAACTCTACTTGTCTATGTTCGAAAGCAAAACGCATGTTCAGGGATTCCCCAAAATAACTGGTAATGCTCACTGTCACTGATTCTGTATAACACTGAAAAAAAATATTTTTGTAGCCTCTACTTTTGGGCCACCACGGGCTCATAGCCCCCTTTGCCCCCCTCCCATACACGCCACTGTGAATATTCAAATCTCTTGTTATAAAGTTTGGTAGAAGTAGATTAAAAGTACGATTACATTGAATCTTTCTGGCATTCGTCTAATTTTATTTAGTGGAAAATTTTGATTAATTGGGCAAATAAATAAAAGTAATTAAATTACCCTGCCGTTATCAATGTCTCTTCCGACTCCAATCGTTAACCTGGCTTTTGCCTTCATCACGTCTCCGAGAGAAATCTTGGCCCTCGTTGCCTCCGAGTGAGATTTATAGCAGAACTCCATCAGGGCAACGAATAAGGCTATGAACAGTCCTCCTATTAGGATATAAAATATGCCCGCGACGTTACTCAGCGACAATTCGTATTTCGAGGCGTCCTGTAAACAGTAAACAAAAAAAGAACGAAGGAAAAGACCGCTGAAGAAAATTGTACTAGTTTTAAATTGAATCAGAGCAACCATTCCAACCATAATCTACTCTTCAGAAGATCAAACAACCAATACAAAAATTAGCATTCCGTATATAGTGAAAGTTTCACGTATGTAGGTATAGTTGGGACGATTAAAATTGGCGTAGTCTGCAATAAATTATCGGTGAAAATGGACATATCTATCCACTTGGGATTGAAGTCATTTGATGCGTTTTGAACACGCCCTTGTTAAATTTGGAAATGCTTCATGAGTAGTATAGACAATGTAAAAAGAAATAACCTAATAATAGTAACCCTAGACAAACATTTTCAGTCTCTCTTCAGTCTCTCAGAGTCTTTCAGGGTCTCTGAGAGCGTCTCTCACAGTCTTTCCCAGTCTCTCAGTTATTGCCTAGATGTTTTTATGGATCTCTCACAGTCTCTGTATGAGAGACTCGAACGATAAAATTGTTAATTCAGAGATTCGAGTCTCTCGTAGAAAGACTGGGATCTCTGAAATATGTTGAACTTTTTAACCATGTCTATCGAGACACCACTTATTGAAAGATTCTAGTCTGTCGTTCAGAGATTCTAGTCTCTCGTTCAGAGACTGAATACGAAATGAGAATTTCTCTATGAGCGACTCCAGTCTCTCCTTCAGAGACGCTAAACAATTTTTATTGACAGTCTCTCGACAGTCTCTCTCAGCGACACTAGAGAGACTGGATGAGAGACGGAGACTCGAGTCTCGCTTTCAAAGACTCCGAGAGACTGAACATATTGATCTCGGGAAGCGGTGCAGCTGTTAGAGGTTGCTTAGGTCAAAGCCGGGCAAACTCGGCTCTCTTGACTCTCGAGTGCTCCTCAGCTATAGTTAAGAAGCTTCTCATTGCTCTTCCTCTTGCGAGTGAGATGATTCTTTCCTTTTCTTATGCCTTCCATTTCGTATGTAAGTCCCCTCTTCCATAGCCGAACCCAATAGTATTGTGAACGTATTGCTACCCCTGAGCTGCGAGACGATAATTTTCATAGGTATTATTTAAGTTGCGAGAGAGGCTTCGCTCGTCTACGGGAAGAAGGGGCTTGATGTGGGAGTGGAAGGGAGAAGAAAACGAGAAAGCAATATGGGTCATTACTGCTTACCCTCTCGTGCTCATTGAAGGGTATGGAGTGACCCAAACTAACCTCAGGGAGCGGCTCCTAAAATATTAAAGTTTGCCCGGCTCTGGCTTAGGTACGTAAAAGATCAGGGTCGGATTTATTACTATCTGGTTGAAATTATATCTTTAAACAAGCGTCTTGCTTTCCCAAATTCCTGAGAATGTTGAATTTTCTTTAAATAAATCCTGCTTCTCTGTATCTCTTGCTATTACAAATAAATTTATGTAATGTGTTCCTTTTTCTTTATTTTTGTCCGCTGCAATTCCTACCTGACATTTTTTTTCTATGTTTACGATATTCCCTACAACGTCTGTCATTAGTAAAGGTAGGCGTTCTGTCAGTAACCGCTCTAGACTAGTTAGACAGTGTTATATAGCGGACTATGCCAATTTGGAACGTTTCAACTATATCGCTGAATATTACAGTATCTATAATAAAAGGAAATCTAAATTATATTTATAGTTTCGGTTGCTTTTTAATTTTAAGAAGAGGGCATTGTCGGACGAGTTAATTTAAAAATGATTTAAAGTTTAATATCCTTTGAAAGTATCAATTATGCATGTCGGTAAAAAACCCGCAGCGGTCTAAGTTTTAACTTTCAGCGTTGCAGAAATGAAAAAATCTCAGAACTCGTTACGGTCCGCCAACTTGAAAATTAAACTTTGCTGAATTAATAATACATTTCTATTCCAAACTTCACTATTCTTTACCGTAGTTAAATTCTAAATGCACTTGCCTTTGTCAACCGAATAAAGATTTAACTAGGAGCATATCCTATAGAAATGTAAATGAATAGCATTCCAAAAAAATATTATTACCGAACCGTGAAGTAGGTGAAGAGTTCTTTCATCCATTTTCTGGATAGTATCGAGGTTTATTTCTCTCACAAAATAAATATAATTCTTACAAATATTCTTCGTTTTTCCATTAACGAAGCGTCGCTTTAAAAGTAGATATATAAAATTATTGCTTAGAGCGCTTTATAATATTTTCAATAATCCTTGTAATGACCTTAATATAGGTAATAAATGCATAGGTGAAGAGCTAGACGCGTAGCCACTGTACCTCTGCAAGAGCAAGCGGAAGTCAAATGCTTTTTGTACATGTACGTTGGCTGTTGGCATTTGGGATATTCGAGAGTATAAATGCACCTAAATCTTACAATTAGTTTATTTTTTCTCGGTTTTTTGCAACTCACTGCATTTGAAGGCACCAGTGATATTAATGAATATAAAACTATCAAGGGAAAGAGTGAATATAAAGATAAGAGTCTAAAAATTAGAAGAAGTGGCTGATTTTCGGTATCTAGGAAGTCAGATAGCCTAGGGTGCACAGAGCAGAGAGGGATCGCTTTTGAATAAAAATAAGTCACTTCTATGTTCGCGAACGGTTAATTTAGAAATTCGAAAAAGGTTGTTAAAGGTATACGTTTGGAGCACGGCATTGTACAGGTGCGAAACATGGACAGTGGACGCGGCGTAAAAGAAAAGTTTAGAGGCGTTCGAAATGTGATGTTATAGGCGGATGATGAGGATATCGTCTATAGAAGTCAATAAAAAATAGGCGAGATAGGTTGGTAGGACACCTTCTTAAGCACAAAGGTCTAGTCAGAGACATATTAAAGGCAGAAACAGGACTTAGGTGAGGCAGAGGTAGACCTAGATTAGATTTCTGTTCGCAAATAATTAAGGATGTGGGCTGTTCTAGTTTTAGGGAAATGCTTAGCTCAGGATAGGCAAGAGTGGAAATGCGTGTCCAACCAGTCATAGACTAACGACTTTTCGATTATGATGGGCTGTACCTAAATCTTACAATTAGTTTAGTTTTTCCCGGTTTTTTGTAGCTTTTTACCTTTTAAGACTCAGTGATATTAATAAAAATCATTCAATAGTAATCAGATGACTGAGGGGAAATATGTAGCCTGTGTAAATGATCAGATCGCTAACTAATTGTAACGTATTATGTGTACATAAATGCCTACGGTTTGTTGGTTTGGTTAAATATCCTTCCACCAACGCTAAATATCTATATGTACTTGAACTTATTGTACATATACGATATACGGGTATCTACACGTATAAATACACACAAATATATATATATATATATATTCATTGGGCGGTGCTACTNTACATAAATAAACTATATATATATATATACATATATATATTATAGCTAGTATGAGTAGGTACGGTTTGTACAGCAAAATTATGCACGGTCGATCGGACTAGCGCAGCTTCTCGGATCGCCAAAGTGCTTGCCCGCTTTACAACAGCAAACGAACAAACCAACCGTAAACTACGTTAATCAATTTACTTCTCAAATGAAGAGAACGTCAATGGTCCATTTATAGAAAATATAAGGTACTTATTTATGCCATCTCGTAAGTACTAGACCCATTTCCATATACTTTATGACATCATACTTGCCTCAACGTTAATGCAATACAAGTTTTGAGCTCAAAGAATGGAAGAATGAGCTTTTGGGTTAGATAAATTTTATTTAGTTTTTCAATTTTTTTTCGAGGATTGATGTTTGGGACATGGGTGTGTATAGACAATAGTTGCAGCGAAAAGTTGAAAGCTTTTAAGATGTAGTGCAAGCGCAGATGATGAAGATTCCATGGATAGAAGAAGTTAGGAATGAGGAAATATTAGAAAAAGTAGAAGAAATATTGAAAAATAGAGATGGGCTTCTGAGACAGGAAGGGGTTTAATAAGAAACACATTAGAAGAGAAAGAAGTACATTAACATTTACTATTCAGTTTTGGGAAATGTGAAAATTGGGTCAGAATAAGTAAAAGTTTAGCTTCTTAGATGTAGATATAGTTGGAATGTTCAAGATTGACATAATCTGTACTAAAACTGCCACATTTACTTTCTTCTTTCAACTTACTAACTGGATTAGAACGGTTGCAAACAGAGCACCTACTTTTGCCCACGACAGAAGTTGTAAGGAATATCATAAACATAGAAAAGAGATGCCAGGTAGGAATTGCAGCGGACACCAACATATAATAAGGAATGACATTACACCAATTTATATGTAACATAAAGAGATACAGACAAGCAGAATTTGAGCATGTTGCTAGCGTCGGACTTTAAAGACAATTCAACATTTTCAGGAATTTGGGAAAGCCAGACGCTTCTTTAAAGATATAATTCCAACCAGGCAGTTTTAAAGCCAACCTTATCTTTTGCGTACCTAAGCAACCTCTAAGCACTGCACCGCTTACTCTTATTCGGTTATCTCTTTTCAGAACATACCACAAATGGCGCGGTAAACGCCATCTGTAGTACGATGCTACATTTCAGTATTACGTATGCTCCAACAAGGTCCATTTAAATATATGGATATCTACTTGTTGAAACGAATCCCGGCGTAGCTAACCTCAAGGTAATAGGCACGTTACCAAATTAAGAGTTGGTCTGTGTTCTGTCGGAACTGTCTGCGAAGCGCTGATGAGATCCAAAAAGATCAAAATCGAGATCCGCGTCTGGCAGTTTCGACAGAATACAGACCACTTCGAATTATTTTATCTCTTTTCACTTAATCTGTACTCCTCATGAAGCATTTCCAAACTTAACAGGGGCGTGTTCAAAACACAGCAAAGCACAGTTCCAAGTGGAAGCAAGAAAGAAGATACGTCCATTTTCACAGATAACTTATTGTCGAATTTGCCAATTTTGATCGTCCTTACTACACATACATAACATTATAGTAAACGAACACCTCTGTTTAGCAGACAATTATTGGCGATCTCACGAATGTCCGCTGAAAGAATATTTCACTGTATAAAGATGTGAGAATTTTTACAACTATTAAACGAAAGCAAGATAACAATTTAGATGAATACAAAAACAGTAAATGTTTAGTTCAGTTATTATTTATTGCGCATCTAATATTGTTTACGAAACTCAAATGAAATTGCTAAAATTTCAATTTTATTTTTAATAAGGGTTTCAGCGTTAGCGGGCTGCTTCTTCGACAAAGCTTCCAATAAAACTTTCCTACAATTTTTACATAAGCTCCAATAATAAAGTTTTAAGAAAGTTCATCTCGGCGATAGTCTATTTTAGTATTAAACAAGGCCGAGGAAGTGAATACAAATTTTTCGATTTAAGAAAGAAAAAAAGAAAGGAAAAAGAGACAGATAAATAAATTAAAAACTTTTTCTTACCTGTTTATCTCCATGTTTGCACTCGGTTCGATCGTACCACCATCGATTCATCAATTTCCTGAGCTCGCCCGACTCCTTCAGACTGAGAACTGCCAAGTTGATGCTGTCCCTTTATCAATCATTTTCATTCTACTGTTAATAGCATTTACTTTTGACGCTTCTACGTTCTAATAGTTCTCTAAGCAAACAATGCTTTTCCCTTTCATACAATATCGTTTTACGAGAACATCTTTTTCAATTTCTCTAATTTCCACCGATCTAATAATTCTCCGTTGAAGGGTCTTTTTTTCTTATAATTTTTACAGCAAACGCACAATAATTGAACTGAGTTGTCTATTATACAGTAAATAGCAAAAGTACACAATATATTCGTTTAAAAAATTTTTCCGGATTCGGTGATTTTCAAAATACAGATTTTCACACACTTTTTAAAATAATTACCTCTCATCAAAAAAAAAATCAAAAGATTATACAATTACGGTAAATATAACAAATTTTGTATGTTACCAGAAATGTATGAAATGTAGGAATTGTATTCCTAGGAAATGTATACAATTCCTAGGCTATTTAGGAAATGTATAAAATATTGTTTCAAAGATTTTTTAATACACACATCTCCTGTGAAATGTATACATTTCCTAGGAATTTTATGAAATTCCGATATTGTACTAGGAAATGTATAAAACTAATGCTTTCTGTGAATAAAATACTCTAACATATTTAGGCCAGGAGCATTAAAAAAATTCTAATCTATCATAAATCTACCTAACTAAACAATGACGTCACCAATGCATATGAATTTTCAGTATCTTTGAAACAATATTTTATATATTTCCTAAATAGCCTCGGAATTGTATACATTTCCTAGGAATTCTATACAATTCCTAGATTTCATACATTTCCGATAACGTATGCAAAATCCAATAAAAATACCTATCTTGAAACGAAATTTCAGGCATGTAAAAAGAAGATAAGTCACTGTATTATTGTTTTCATGGATGTAGTATGACTTTTAACGTTTGTGAGATCAAAAGCAGTTTGAATCAGAAATTCAAAAATACATTGAGATGTAGAGTATAGTTCAGGACATACACATGTCAAATATTGTAATAGAAATAAGTTTCAATGTCTACAGGAACATCTACTACGTTCAACATGTAGTTAATAAGTAATTTAGTTGCTGTAAATTATTGTAATAAATGCTAATTACCGGTAGATGGTGAAATATACACATGAATAAACCATACAGAGATGGAGCTCGTTAATTTGGGAAGTCATGTGAGAGGAATTTCAGTTGCTGATATACATTCTAATGAATGTTTAATTATGTTTCGAAAGTGCGGTACTAATAAATAATTAAAGGATCAAAACTAATTTAGAATTCATTTAAGAACTGAAAGACAATGCTGTATTGTCATACCTGAAAATTTCGATATTAAAATAGCTTACGAATTAAGACATAGAATATGCTAACAGGACATCGGAAATCCAGAAAAAGAAATCCATTAACACCGTATTCCTGGGTTCCCTCATTTTTTATTCATGGTGACTAATTGCACTGAACTATATTTGAAGTTTTAGGGTTCCGTACCGTAGTAGGAAAAAAGGAACCGTTATAGGATCACTTTGTTGTCCGTCTGTCCATCTATCTGGAGAGACCATTTTTCTCAGGAACGTATGGAGGTATCAAGTTGAAATTAATATCAAAGACTCAGGTCTGCAATACCTTCGAGTTGTGAAAAAATCTAAATCAACGCAGTCAAACGATACGACCATTTATGCCACATATTTGGTCACTCGTAACAAGCATTTGAAATGTGGTGTTACAGGCGAAAGATGAGGATACCGTGGATAGAGAAGGTTATAGATGAAGAGGTATTAGAAAGAATAGGAGAACAGTCGAGAAGAAATAGGCGAAATAGGTTGGTGGGACACCTTCTCAGGGATGAGAAGTCTCTAGTCAGAGACATATTAGATGCAGAAACGGAAGTGAGGAGGGGTAGTGGTAGACCTAGATTAGATTACTGTTCGCAAACAGTTAAGGATATGGGTTATTGAAGTATAGGAAAGAGTGGAGGTGCGTGTGAACCAGTCTTAAGACTGGCGACCTTATGATGATGATGCAAGGTGCATGAATTTCGGATTGTGCATAGTTAGAACAAAAATTTACCATAACTCTTTTTGAGTCTATTAAAAAAATGGAATTGTAAAGGTCATGGTAGCAAAACCTTTTGTTTTCGTGTCACAACGACTTATGACCAAAAAGCTCATTGTAAGACAATTAAGCGAGATAGGTTGGTAGAACACCGTCTCAGGCGTGAAGATCTAATCAGAGAAATATTAGAGGCAAAAATGGGAGTTAGGAGGGGTAGAAGTAGACCTAAATTAGAGTACTGTGGTTAAGGATGTGGAATGTTCAAGTTTTAGGGAAATGCGAAGATTAGCTCAGGATGGGAAAGAGTGGAGGTGCGTGTCCAATCAGTCTTAGGACTGACGACCTTATGATGATGATGAAGTGAATCAAAGCCTAAAGGGTACTTCAAGTACAGGTGCAATAATGAAATTTGACAAGAAGCAATGTCTTATGGCATAAGTAAAGGAAAACAAACCGAAAAACGTCGTCGCCTATTCCACCAGAATACGACCTTTCTCTTAACCTATCCGAATTTTTATTAGAATAAAAAAGGTAGTAATTTTACCTGAGTGGCGAGCCCAAAGGTGTAGCAACGCCAAATCCTTTTGAATCCAAATTCTCGCCCACTTTCATGGTGTCGCAAGGTTCCCTTTGATTGATGTAGTCGTTTTTCGGCGATTCTATTAACAAGGCGTACTTGCCCTTCGATTGTCTAACCCTTCTGATTCCTTCGTCATAACTTTTCACGAAAACGTGTGGTTTTGAGCTCATATATTCCCACATTTTTGAATAGAGCGAGATCTGAGACCTCTAGAATGAACAACAAACCGTCCATTCTTCTATTTCGCTTTATTTTTTGAGACACATTTGATATTGGAAAACAAGTTCGATAGGTATTGACATATTCAAGTTTTCTTTTCCTGTTTATTTTGCCCCTTTTGGTGTTTTTTTTTTGCTATTAGGTGCTATTAATTTTCATACGAGGGTGGATTGATAAGTTTCCGGCCTGACCAAGAAAAACAAGGTTTTTAAAAATTTTTTTTTTTTATTTCTCAACATAATCTCCTCCAAGGCTGATACATTTCTCATAGCGGTGTTCCAGTCTATTAATGCCATCTCTATANGACCTTATGATGATGATGCAAGGTGCATGAATTTCGGATTGTGCATAGTTAGAACAAAAATTTACCATAACTCTTTTTGAGTCTATTAAAAAAATGGAATTGTAAAGGTCATGGTAGCAAAACCTTTTGTTTTCGTGTCACAACGACTTATGACCAAAAAGCTCATTGTAAGACAATTAAGCGAGATAGGTTGGTAGAACACCGTCTCAGGCGTGAAGATCTAATCAGAGAAATATTAGAGGCAAAAATGGGAGTTAGGAGGGGTAGAAGTAGACCTAAATTAGAGTACTGTGGTTAAGGATGTGGAATGTTCAAGTTTTAGGGAAATGCGAAGATTAGCTCAGGATGGGAAAGAGTGGAGGTGCGTGTCCAATCAGTCTTAGGACTGACGACCTTATGATGATGATGAAGTGAATCAAAGCCTAAAGGGTACTTCAAGTACAGGTGCAATAATGAAATTTGACAAGAAGCAATGTCTTATGGCATAAGTAAAGGAAAACAAACCGAAAAACGTCGTCGCCTATTCCACCAGAATACAACCTTTCTCTTAGCCTATTCGAATTTTTATTAGAATAAAAAAGGTAGTAATTTTACCTGAGTGGCGAGCCCAAAGGTGTAGCAACGCCAAATCCTTTTGAATCCAAATTCTCGCCCACTTTCATGGTGTCGCAAGGTTCCCTTTGATTGATGTAGTCGTTTTTCGGCGATTCTATTAACAAGGCGTACTTGCCCTTCGATTGTCTAACCCTTCTGATTCCTTCGTCATAACTTTTCACGAAAACGTGTGGTTTTGAGCTCATATATTCCCACATTTTTGAATAGAGCGAGATCTGAGACCTCTAGAATGAACAACAAACCGTCCATTCTTCTATTTCATTTTATTTTTGAGGCACATTTGATATTGGAAAACAAGTTCGATAGGTATTGACATATTCAAGTTTTCTTTTCCTGTTTATTTTGCCCCTTTTGGTGTTTTTTTTTTTGCTATTAGGTGCTATTAATTTTCATAGATATAAAATTTTACTCACAAACTACTGGTATTGCGCTACACTTTCTTATTGATTGTAATATATACAATTCGAGTTTCCAACAATAATGAAGTTGTCCAGAAGGTATCACATTCCAAATTTGACAAATAAAATTAACCATCATCATGTATTAGTGCAATAGTAAACATTTCAATTCTATTCTATGCATATTTTCAGTTTTACTCTTACAAATTAAGCCTAACAGTCCAGTCAAATGAGAAAAATGACTGAAGAGTACCTTATAATGGAGAAAATGATTGAAACACGGATCATTTTATCGGAAATTTCGAGAGGAACGCGAATATGTAAATGAAAACTATTTACCCTGCATATGGGGGGAGAAAATCCGTAAAAACAATTGCAAATTCGATTATCTCGATAATTGCTTAATTGTTTAAAAGAACAATGAAATAATGGATAAAAAAATTTATTTCTCTAAAAAGATAGTTTAACCGATTAAGATAAGTTACGAATCGATTAAATTATCAGTTTTAAATTTTTAATAATTATTTTAATTTTTTTAAAAATTTCCGCGAATTTTGAGGCCTCTTTGCCTTTGGGCGCGCAGAACTTCTGTTCTATAAGAGATATAAAAAAAATCATCAATACTTTTTTGCAATATGGCATTATGAAAAACTATTATTAAGACTTTTTTCCATTTCTTTCATATTTCACGAGATAATCGAATTTGCAATTGTTTTTGCGGATTTTCTCCCCCCCTATGCAGGGCAAATAATTTTCATTTCCATATTCGTATTCCTCACGAAATTTCCGATAAAATGACACGTATTTCAATCATTTTCTCCATTGTAAGGCACTCTTCAGCCATTTCTCTCATTTGACTGGACTATAACTCATTGACATATGATATATTGCCAATGAAACGGTATATACGTAACAATAAAATAATTTGCATGAGCCGATACCTAATCAAATTGGCAAAATAAATGAAAACTTACCCTGAAGAAGTCCCATGTGGAACCATGGTACAATGTTCCATATTCAACTTCTCTTTGAGTGGCCAAATCTTCGGCCGAATTAATTGGAGCAACCATTCTTTCGACTGTGAGAAAAGCGGCCAAATTGGCAGTGTAAGATGATATGAGTATGAGGGTGAAAAACCACCAAACAGCCCCCACAATCCTTCCTGAAACCGATCTCGGTGATATGTCGCATCCCTGTTGCATGAAAGCTCCCAGTGCGAACCACAACGAATTGAGCATACTGAAATCATTAGCCATGGAGTTTCCGTAACCGGAATGTCCCGCGGGAGTTTTGTGCTCTCCGGTTAAGTGGAGCAATCTCCATTCATAAGGGGAAAACCTGGAGACGGTGAATAGGACGATGCTGACCCCGATGTAGCTGAAAATAACACAGACCCAGATCTCTTTCGAAAGCGGACTGAGGAAACTGAAAACTCCAGGTTTCTGCTTCACCGGCTTCTTTATCATGATAGAGATGCCAAGGGACATAAACGGCTTGCTGAAGTCGATAACTCTTTCTCTTTCCGAAGTTATTGTCATTGATGCTATCGCAATATCCGCTTCCTACATTTAAAGAGATTCCTTAATACTGTCTGTTGCCGACTTTATCAACTTGAATAATTTCAATTTAACATCTCAATAAATTCATCCCTACAACACTCGATTAAATTTCTTTATCCTTTTCAAGACGTTTAGCATTACAATAAGCTTTTGACGTCGACGTTTTCAGAATAACTATTAGAAAACGCGTATTCATGTTAAGTTTGTGCTATTAAAGACTAGAACTATTTTGTGACTGCCTCCCCAATGCTACTATGATAATAACACGATTTTATTTACTTTTTTAGCCCTTACGAGACAAGTGACATCTCAATAAGTATTTGATGTTGACGTTTTCAGAATAACAGTACCTTCATGAAATATTATAAGTAGTTAGACCATTAAGTTGTTGCACACTGATAGCCGTTAGTTTGTGACTCACTAATACACTTTTGGCTCATGCACGCTCTCTATCACTCATCCTGAAAACATCGTGACCGCGTATTAGACATTTAGCATTTCAATAAACATTTGATAACGACGTTTTTCGAATGGTACTGCCGTCATAAAGTGACACCTCAATAAGTATTTCATGCTAACGTTTTCAGAATTACAGTACCATCATGAAGTATTAAAAGTATTTGGACTCATCCTGAAAACATCGTGACCGCGTATTAGACGTTTGGCATTTCAATAAACATTTGATAACATAACGACGTTTTCAGAATGACACTACCATCATAAAGTGCATATTTTTGTGATAGGTATTTTGACTATCATCTTCTTTGCAGTTTACCATTTTTCTGGTTTGTGACTCACTAAACGTACTTTGATTTCATGCATACTCTCCACCACTCATCCTAAAAACGTCACGTAAAATTGACATGATTTCCGATACGCATCCTACTTTTTCATAACTTGAGTTTCAGTTGTCTTAACGTAGAGGAGAGGAACATGTAAGGGTCAAAACTCAATTAGAGGTCAAGGTTCTTACGTGGTGTACTGGTTCCGGTCGGTTTTTTTATAACGGTACAGAACCTTTAAACGAAATTGAAACGTCAGTTATGTTTAGTGTTGCACTTACAACATTTTGTCTGGTAAAGAATATGATCTAACCTAACATAAACTGTTCCGGAATGTTGGAGCAAACTGATTACGGTAACTAAATTAAGCACAAAGAAACAAAGTCTTGTACCTTTATGAGTAACTTAGTTCCACCTCATTAACGAAGGTTTACGTAGTAAACTAAGATAATGAAATTAATTAGCTATTTGCGCTCCTCTGGTTTGTATTATTTTGCTAGATGAACGCCTATCTAGTATGAACTAAAGGATTCTGCTTTATTTTAGAAGCTCAGTTACTAAATTTAGCATAAAGGGAAACATTATGTGTATGCCTGCCTGTATGAAATGTGTATTTCTGAAGAAATTTAACAATGAAAATGTTTTCTAAATACAATCCGAAGTTATTTTCACTAAACAATTGTAACGAACATTTCGGCGTTATACGTTCATTAAAAAAGAGTGCGGATAGATTGGGTTGACGGCTCACGCATGGCCCAAATTAATTAATTAATTTTTGGCATAATTTAACAATAAAATTATTTAGATTGTCAACCCTACCGTATCGTGGACATTAAAAGTCGAATTTGATTTGTAAATTTCGTGAAAAGTCTTGAAATGCAAATCACACCCTACATTTCAGTCAAAATTGCAATACCATGTCTGGTTCTGGAAATTCATAACGTTAATTAACTCTGACAGGGTGTAATTCTGCATCATATAAATCTGCATTTTTCCGATATTTTCTAAGAAGTACTTATTTTCTTCCTGCATAGACGACTTACTTCCAAGTCACCGGCGGTTTCTGACACTTATAAATAATGACCCACGATACAAGCTATTATACGAAATAAGTAGAAGATAACAATTCTCAGAAAATGCAGTAAATTTCTAAACAAAAAACCGCAAAATACAGACAAGCGCTTAAAATTTATGCATAATAGGTTTATTCTAAATTTGATCGATGAATATTGCAATGCAATAATATTTTGCTTAGGTACATTTTTTAGAAGATGTGATCTGTACGACCAAGTGAATTATTGCAGTACCTGTCTAGACTTTGTTTCTCAGTTCACAATTTAAATATTTTAAATCAAATTGGAAAAAAAGTATCGTATTTCGTTCGCCACTGAAGCGTACTTATTTGTAGGTCAAAGGTCACTTATTTTAGCTCTATTTGCTGTCAAATTTTCCGGACCAATGACAAAATAGATCACATTTCTATAACAGTGCATTTCTTCCAATCTAAAAAGGTTTGAAAATAAACACACTTTCAGTAGCGTAGCCAATAGGGGTTAAAGAGTTTATCCCTATCAAGTAGGATGTTTTTATTTTTAATTATAATTGTAGTCTGAGAAATACGCCACTGCATAGTTGGGTTTTTCAGTTTTTTTTACTAATATCTCCCCCCGCACTCACGAACGGTGGTTACGATACTGGATGGTTTTGAATTAAGCATTAAAAGCTTTTATTCGCGAAACTCCGATTTTTTAATACAATTTTGAATACATATAGAGATAGATTTAAATAAAACGGAAGGGGTATTGATACAACAGTATTGTATGAAAATAAATAAAACTAAAACAAAAATACTGGTATGCAAGGGAAGGAAAAGTAGGGAAAGAGCGAATATAAAGATAGGAGACGAAAATTTAGAAGTGGTTAATTTTTACGTTTGGAGCGCGGCGTTGTACGGGTGCGAAACGTGGACGGTGGGCGCTGCGGAGTTAAAAAGGTTATAAGAATGATAAGGATACCGTGGAAAGAGAAGGTTAGAAATGAAGAGGTATTAGAAAGAATAGGAGAGCAGAAGACTCTATGGAAGACAATAAAATATAAGCGAAATAGGTTGGTAGGACACCTTCTCAGGCATGCAGGTCTAGTCAGAGACATATTAGAGTTAGGAGGGGTAGAGGTACACCTAGATTAGATTATTGTTTGCAAACAGTTAAGGATGAGGGTTGTTTTAGTTTTAAGGAAATACGAATATTAGCTCAGGATAGGAAAGAGTGGAGGTGCCTGTCCAACCAGTCTTAGGACTGACGATCTCATAATGATGATAGGAATGTAACTTTTTCTGACGGCTCTTCTCCGTTTAACAAGCTAATTCTTCATTTTTAATCGGATAGTCAGGTGACATAAAAGAGCTTACGTGATGAAAATAACTAAACTGTTCGCGTGTATTTTAGGAAGTATTTCTGCTACTCTAAATAAATCCGTTTTCAACGAACTCGCTTTAACTGGGCTTTGCATAAAAATAGGAAAAAAATCATAAATAGCACAGCCACATATGACATTTCCGAACCTTAATAAGTACATAAAATTCCCTTTTCTTTTAAAGTGCACCACTTTAGTAAAACGTAGGTACTTAGGTATGTAAGTTCATAATGCGTATGCATAAAGCACCTTATTGGTTGCATTCACATGATCAATATTTACCATATTTTGATAACGAGGTGCTAAAGATGTTAAATAAATAAATTTATTTTAAGTTCATTGAATGCTACTTGTACTTTTGTTCTCCGAATACCCATTTTTGAAAAATCGTAGTTAACTAAAATATAGAATGGCTCATAAAATTTATTATCCAAATAATTAACTTTATATGTACTATAAAATAGCTCTTGAAAAAGCAATAAAGTTCGGCATTATTGTGGAAATTTATTTCAGAAAAACAGATATTTGGAGTTTTTATTTTTTTGATAATCTTAATAATCTCTTATTGTTAATACGTAGAAATAAGCAGTTCGAATATTAGCTGCCGTTTTATTTTAATATACGACATATATCTTGAAGATATTAGCAAACCGGGATAGTAATAATAAATGTCAAAGGACTTTCGATGTGAATTTTTGTCAATAATTATAAATATATGTGATTCCCCCGCAATCCACAATTTCTATGAATGCATCATCTAAAAGTTAAATTAAAAGCCTCAACTTCCTTTTTCTTTCTGAATGGTAGAATTAAAAAAAGATTTATGATAAGTCCGTTATAATCCGCTTACCAAAGTATTAAATATTAACAGATTTTTATTTTTTTTTAACTCTTTTCCTTGAAAAACTAAGCACAACATAAAACTAGAGGTACAGTAACTTAAAGTGAAAATGATTGGAGGAAGCAACCCGTTATATGCAGATGCAACGTAAAACCATCAACCACATCGGAAGATTTAGACATTTTGGAGAACTCCGTGCTAATTAAATGGTAGGAGGGGCAGAATATTTATAAAAGGTTTTCTGTAAATGGAAACATTCAATCATTTCCATACCAGTTAAAGTTTCAAAAAAATCAAGAATTTGTTCATGTTTCTTCCTTGGTATTTGACAAGGCAACACAAAAATTCAATGCCGAATTATTTTTATATTATAGGTACTTGTATATTTTTGCGTCACTGGATTAAATAAATATTAAGTTTTTGAACTTAAATAAAATGGAAGCGGTACTGACAGATCAGTACTGTATGAAAATAAATAAAAGTAAAACTAAAATACTGGCATGCAAGGGAATAAAAGGTAGGGAAAGAGCGAATATAAAGATAGGAAACGAAAAATAAGAAGTGGCTGATTTTAGGTATCTTGGAAGTCAGATAAGTCAGGACGGAAGGAGTAGTAGGGATATAAAGCAGAGGATAGCGCAGGGTCGTGTGGCCTTTAATAAAAAGAAGTCACTTCTATGTTCGCGAATGGTTAATTTAGAAATTCGAAAACGGTTGTTGAAAGTGTATGTTTGGAGCGCGGCGTTGTACGGGTGCGAAACATGAACAGTGGGCGCGGCGGAAAAGAAAAGGTTAGAAGCCTTCGAAATGTGGTGTTATAGGCGAATGATGAGGATAACGTGGGTAGAAAAGGTTAGAAATGAATAGTTATCAGAAAGAATAGGAGAATAGAGGACTCTATGGAAGTCAATGAAAAATAGGCGAGATAGGTTAGTAGGGCACCTTCTCAGGCATGAACGTCTAGTCAGAGACATATTAGAGGCAGACACAGGAGTTAAGAGGAGTAGAGGTAGCTCTAGATTAGATTACTGTTCGCAAATAGTTAAGGATGCGGGCTGTTCTAGTTTTAGGGAAATGCGAAGTTTAGTTCAGGATAGAAAAGAGATGAGGTACGTGTCCAACCAGTCTTAGGACTGACGACCTTATGATGATGATGATGAAGTTTTCGAAATTTGTAATGTATCCAATAAGGTATGAAACCTTTGACAGGCGATTCAAACTTGAACCTGTTATCTGTTTAATTGTGACAAATCAGTACCTTTTAACCCAGGAAACATCCCCTTAATTTTAGCTTATTTGTCTTTCGAAAATGATTATCCGTGTAATCCCATATGGTAAATTGTTTCGTATCAATACAGTTGAGAAATAATAAAACATACGAAATGTTCGACTGACTATAACTCATTCTCAATTTACGCTACTGTACATGCAAAATATGATTGATTAAACTTACTTGGCGTACAAGTTCCCCGACCATTCCATCCCAGCCTCCTTTGACATCGGAGTTTTCGGAACCGTATTTTCCATCTTTGACGATCCTTAGCTCATCTGTAATTGAAATTCGCCGGTTATCTTTGAAAAGTATCAGTTCGACGGTACGTTACAATTTATTCCGATTCTTTTTGCTATCAAATCCGCCAAATCTTTGCAATATCCCTCGAAGCGGTCGTTACCAATGAGGATTTCGCCAGCTTCCGGCTTCTTCAGCATTATATACGGCTCTTCCTGAAACGTATTCATTCGATACAACCGTACGTTCAAACCACACAATAACAAATATAAATTTTCTTATACCAGAAATCGAACGTGAAGCTCAACAGTGTAATATCGTAAATACTGGCTACAAGGGTGTCGACACCAACAGACTTACACAAAGTCTTAAAGATTTCACTAATTCGCGGAAAAGTCAAGGAAAATTTTCTTAATTTTAAACATAACGGGTATAGATAAATAGAACAAAATTGCTTTTAAGGTTCAAATGTAGGATTTACACTACAATTGTTTCGACTCGTAATGCGTAAAGCCTTTGTCAAGAGTCTGTAAAGTCAGTAAGTCCCAAACAAACTTTTGACAAAAGCTTTAATGGAGTCCCAAGAAATTGTAGATTAAATCCTACATTTAGAGAACATTTAAAGCAATTTTGTTGTGGCTTTTCGAACATTCGCAATCAAACCGAAATATTCTTCGGCTAGTAATATTAAAAAAGAAAGGTTAATAAACATAAATTGAGAGAAAATAGACAAAAATTAGTCATAACTTAGCCAAAAATCGCATAGAGCTGAAAATTGGCAGAGACGTTAAATATGTCATTATAAATATAGTTCGGCTGCACGACAGCTGGTCATTGATACCACTGGGCATCAGTGTCCGTTATTGAAAATTGTGGTGATCATACGCATTATAAGTTAACCGAAGATACTTGAGTACTCATCCGCTGCACTTACGCAAACGATTAAAATAACGTTGGACTTTTAAAGTATTAATGGTGGACTTTTTTATTCATCATAAGGTCGTCAGTTCTAAGACTGGTTGGACACGCACCTCCAATCTTTCATATCCTGAGCTAATCTTCCTATTTCCTTAAAACTAGAACATCCCATATTCTTAACTACTTGCGAACAGTAATCTAATCTAGGTGTACCTCTACCCCTCGTAACTCCTGTTTCTGCCTCTAATATGTCTCTGACTAGACCTTCATGCCTGAGAAGGTGTCCTACCAATCTATCTCGCCTATTTCTAATTGATTTCCATAAAGTCCTTTCTAAAACCTCTTCATTTCTAACCTTCTCTATCCACGCTATGTTCGTCATTCGCCGGTAACACCACATTTCGAACGCTTCTTACCTTTTCTTTTCATCTGTGTTCACCGTCCATGTTCCAAACATACCTTCGAATTTCTCAATTAATTATTTTTTTATTAATAACGCAATATTCTATATCTACAAGGAAACATAAAATTAAAAAAAAATGGAATACTTTCTTTCTTCTTTGTTTATTAATAAAATTGAACTTGAACTCTAACCTATTTTTCTTAATCGTTGAAGATCATCGTAAATATAAATGTATGTGGTATGAAATGCGTTACGCGTGTCGCGTAAATAATTGAAGAATATCACGCAAAACATGAAAAGCTCTTGTTTGTGCAAGTTATCCTTCTTTATATACAGTTACGGCAATGCAGTGCTCGTGTTTGTACGTAAGCCTAAACCGCATTTAAATCTTTCTAAAGACTTTATCGACCGCTTTTGAAACTTGTTGTTTTGTCTTCATACTACAGTCCAGCTGCGCAATTAGATTGTATCTACATGTAGTCATAATACCTAAATCCCTTCATAAAATACACTTAAAGTACGAAAAGTAGTTATACCTACTCCGGCTTTATTACTTTTTACTTGTTTTCTGTTTCTACCTAATTCTATTAAATTTTATGCTAGATACAATAACGTTTACTAGAAATGAACACGAGTGCTATACTTCGTTTACTTTCTGTAGCGATGTGACCTTCAGTTTGACCGGCGCAAAGTAGAACAGAACAGCAGTAGGCCAGAAAAGAAAGGAGACAACTCTCGGCCAAACTCTTAACCGGTGAGGAGCGTATAATCCGTACAGTACTGCACGGAAAAATTAACCATTTTATCCACTACAATTGCATTGCTCAAATGTGCTGTTATTGGTACCATTTACTACTGAAAATATCAACGAGATGTTTATTTATATATTTGAAGACATATTAAAGGCTTTAACGTTTGTTTTCGACTCGCACTACTATTCATGATTGAACAAAACTTTTGGCAGGTACTGTATAAAAAAGTATGTTTAACGAACAAGAGTCGAAAGTATATGAGCTTTTTTCTCCCTACCTACGATTTTGCCAGCGCGCATCCAAGACATTGGGAGGGGCACATCGCTAGAGAAAGTAAATGAAGTATAACTGGCTTTATACCGGAAAGGGATGTCATTATGCCAGTTTCAGTTACCGTTATTTGTTTATGTTTATTGAAGGCAGAGCATCTATGAGCCCAATCTCAGTAAAATTGGAGCTCTCTTTTAGGAAAATCTGTTGTTAAAGGAAACCTTGATAGAAGTTAATGCGAATATTTGCTCAGGATAAGAATGAGTGAAGATGCGTGACAAACCAATCGAATCCTCGGACCTTTGCTTTTCTATTTATTATTTTACGCAAAAATGTAGAATCTCTTTAAGTGAAACCTCGATAAGTCAAAAACCTCCAAAACTCGAAAAAATGTTTTGTTCCCTTCCCTTCAAGACGCAAAACCTCTATTATTCCAAATCTCAACCCTGTATTAGTCAAAATAATCAGTCCTTGCAAGTCATTATGGTACATATTTTCCCTCCATAATTAAAAAAATTAAATTATACTTCTACAGCTCGAACATAGAAATGTTTTATTTTAAAACCTTTACAACTCTATAATTTGAAACTTATTACATCTACAGTTCGAAGAAAACTAAGTTATCGACTTTAAGGATTTGTTGACAATGTAAGTGCACCAAATCTTAATCTCTATAAGTCGAATTAAAATCCGCCTAAGTCTAAATCCTGCATATGTCGAAAACTCTATAACTCGAATATTTTAGCGTCTCTCTTGAGAGATGTTCGAGTTATAGAGATTCTACCGTATAATGTATTTTATATATATATCGATTACCTATTTACATTATAAAGTATATATTATACAAATATATTGCTATTGCTATTTTGACTTGAACATAGTAACTTACCACAATGGTTGTAACAATGTAAGTACGATTCTTTTGTACAAAATGGGTTGGTCTAATGTATTTGGCTACGATAGGTGTAAATCCCGTTTGATCGCTCCATTTAGCCACTTCCACCATAGCACTGTTTACAGTCATTTCCACAACGTGAAAAGTATAGTTCTGTCGTTTTCCTTCTTCATTGAACTGTATTTCTCCTGTTAGTCCTTCAATTTCAACCTGAAAGAAATAAAATTAACTTGAGGTCGTTTGTAGTGGACGGAAAATTGAAAATGAATAATGAATAATTGAAAACGTCAGTGAAAGAAATATAATACGCTATTAAATGTTTTTCCGAATTTTTGGATGCTTGTAAAAATGATTCAACATTTGCGAAGTAATAATTTAATTTCAAGGCATTTCCATTACATTTGATAGGATGAAATTATGCGAAAGAATAACATTGTCAATCATAAATTTTGGAAATCGTTTTTCTGATGTTCACTAATTAAATTTCTAATGGGTAGGGGAGACCGGGGATGGTTAACTATAGGGGTAGGTAGACTAACTACCGAAAACTCGTCGACAGTGTATGAACTATGTCATCTGATCATAGCCAAGCATTACATTTCGCGTCGTGTTGTCTGAAGCGCTACATCGCGGTCGTGCGTTGTTTTCGAACACTGACATGTTTTTCATATTTCAATCACATAAGTAATATTTTGATATATTGTATTTTTTGATCTGATGCCTACTCGTTTTATGTAAATCATTTTTCTATTAGTCCTAGCGTTTAATGAGGGCTCATTTATCATATTTCATATCTTATTTTTCAAGTCAACGGCAGTGTTTAGGCTAGCCATGCGATCAAAATTAAAAATGGCGTCTGGGGTTGGTAGACCAATTTTTTTCGGGGCTGGTTGAATAATTATTCAACCAACCCCAATGAAATATGTAGTTGAAAACAACACATAAATTAACTTTTTATTGGACTTTTAAATCGTTACGTGGCCAAATTAAAAGAAAAATTAGAACAGAATCCGAAATTGACGAGAGCAGAATTAACCCTGGACACAGTGGAATATATAAAAAATTGACAAATTTTTACTAATCTAGAAGAGGAAACTTTAGCCAGTTTATTTTTTAACAAAAGGTTCAATTATATTAAAAAATGTTTAATTATTTGCTCCTACTCATGATTTGACTCTTTTTGGTACATGAGTCAACTTACCCCGGGCATATGGTCTACCTACCCCGGGCCAGGGGTAGATTGACTAAGATTTAATATTTTGTAAAATGCATTAAATCATCACTATTATACTAAACTAAGAACTAAATATTACATATTTTTATTAGGTTAATAGATTTTCTATCAATTAACATGCTTTTCTTGTCTATATACATTAAGGCACAAAAAATATGAACTATTTAGTAAAAAACTAGTCAACCATCCCCGGTATCCCCTACTTATAAAAGTCTTTGTTAGAGACATTTATGTAGTTTACGTAACTAGTTAGCTGCAATTATGGCGATGGCAGTTATGCTTATCGATTTTTTCTGCAACGGGCGCGTACAGGAAATTAATAAGAAGCCGTGTATGCGTGACAATGGGGAGTTATTGGATTTCAATGGAAATTTATTTTGTATTTTATCATGCATCATTTTCCTAATTAACGCATAAAAATAAGCACTTTTCAATACAAAGTAGGATAAAAAAGCTTCGTAACACACTGACGACAGCCCCTCGACGCCTAAACCAAATTATCATTGTTATACGAAGGATCATCAACAAAGTTTTCATTCCATTATTACTTAATGTTGTATGCACACTAGGGTGGGCCAATAAACATCAATTTTTTGTGAGAATCATTGAGTATTCTCTGGTAAAACATTAGAAGTTTTACGAAATACAAATAATCATAAGGAAAATTGACTTTTTTTCTGTACTTAATTTTAAGTGGCATTCGAATTTTTTTTTTACCTGAATAATGACTTAAAAAAGTTAATTATTAATTATTCCTTAAATGTTTTATGTTTTTAAGCCATTATTTTGTGATAAAGTATAAAAAAAAAAAGTCTTCATATGCCATTTGAGGTTGAACTTTAACCTCAAATAAGTTTTAAACGAGTTAACTTAGCAAAAAATCAGTTTAGACCTTTTTTATAGATTGTTCAATTCGCTATAAGAATATGTATTAACTTTTACAATACAAGCATTCCTTAAAACGCAATAAAATTCCAAAAAAAATATTTAAATAGGAAATCAAAAATCACGATGAGACATCTCTTAACATTAAAATTAAAAGCTGCTAGGCTTATTTTTTTGTCATTTCAAACAGTAAAGTAATGGTAACAGAAGAAAAAATTAAAAATTTTTTTGGCCCATCCTAATTCGCACCTACATGTTGTGCACAGGTTTTTTACGTCAAAAAAGATGTACTGCTAATTATTTCAAATGGTTCAGTTTAATCTCCATCAATAATAAATAAATTCCGAGATTTATTTAATTCACTTAAAAACAGATGAAGGGTTAATAATTTTCAACACGGAAATGCTCAACAAGTCCATAAGGATGTCGACTTGTCAAACTGCATCCACGGAATAGTTAATCGATTATAATAAAAAGTTGATGTTGTTCAATATTCTATGACGAATATGTCATCAGCGCGTTGTAAACTATTTTAACGGTACCTACGAGGGTGGATTGATAAGTTTCCGGCCTGACCAAGAAAAACAAGGTTTTTAAAAATTTTTTTTTTTTATTTCTCAACATAATCTCCTCCAAGGCTGATACATTTCTCATAGCGGTGTTCCAGTCTATTAATGCCATCTCTATAGACTGATTCGTCAAGCTCCTCAAAATAACCATTTACAGCTTCGATTACTTCTTCATTGTCCGCAAATCTCTTACCGCCAAGCCATTTTTTGAGATTAGGGAACAGAAAATAGTCACTCGGGGCTAGGTCTGGAGAGTAAGGAGGGTGCGGCATCAATTCAAACTTTAGATCGTTGATTTTAGCCGTCGCAACGATTGACGTGTGCGCTGGTGCGTTATCGTGATGAAACAAGATTTTTTTCTTCGCCAGATGAGGTCGTTTAATTTTCACCTCGTGGCTCAAACGTTGCAATAAGTCTGCGTAGTATTGACCAGTGATAGTATTACCCTTTGCAAGGTAATCAATGTATATAATACCTCTTGCATCCCAAAAAACAGTAGCCATAACCTTGTTCGCCGAAAAAATTGTTTTTGCCTTCTTTGGAGTTGGTTCCCCTGGTCCAATCCACTGTTTAGACTGTTCTTTGGTTTCAGGAGTGTAGTGGTGGACCCACGTTTCGTCAACGGTTACGAATCGACGCAAAAATTCGCTTGGATTACGCTTATACAATGACAAATTTGCGGTAGAAATGTTTTTTCGAATCAATTTTTGGTCGACTGTTAGCAAACGCGGCACCCATCTTGCACAGAGCTTTTCCATATGCAAATGTTGGTGCAAAATATGTTGCACACGTTCATATGACATCTTACAGGTCTCAGCTATCTCACGCACTTTCAATCTGCGGTCTCCCAGCACTATTTGATGAATTTTTTCGATCATATCTGGAGTTGTGACCTCAACGGGGCGTCCTGAGCGAGGCCCATCAGAGGTGCTCACACGACCCTTTTTAAACTCGGAAACCCACTGCTTAACGGTTGAATATGACGGGGAGGATGTCCCCAGTGTTGAGTCCATCTCTTTTTTAATTTCCTTCGGCGTTAACCCCTTCAAATAAAAGTATTTGATGACAGCACGATTTTCCTGCTTTTCCATTTTTACGAAAACCACAGAGGCGTCTTGTTCAGCGTGCTGTCAAACCTACACTAGCAAGGAGATCGGGCTGAAACTATAGCTACAAGCTATCTAAGGATGGTACTATAGAATGTCACCTCAAGGTAGGCCTAGTGGCGTCATCTCTTGGTTAGGCCGGAAACTTATCAATCCACCCTCGTATATAGGTCCACTCTACTTCTTGGTTGAGTGCCTACCACATGGGGTTAGCTACGCCGTTGATTCAGTTCCAGAAGTTGTGATGACGAAAATTGGTATTGGTCTTGCAGTCATGGTCTTGGTATTGGAAAATGTAAGAACAAGACGAAGACTGTCTTTATACTAGCAAGACCAATACTGAATAAGCAAGACCAAAAGTAAAACCAAAACCGAACGAACAAGAGAAAGACTTAAACCAATACCAAATGTGTAAGATGAAGAACAACAGCAAAACTGAAACTATGTCAGCAAGAAAAAGACTAGAAGTATTTGAGCAAGACCAAGACAGTCCCGGTGTTCGTCTTATATTGCTCATCACTATCGACAAGTTGATATCCTTTTGGATCTTGTTAAACTTTTTTGAATTCCACGCTGTTTGCAATTCTCTGATTCATTTTAGATCTTCTTCAAAAGTAACACATTTTATATTTTAGAGCCATACGTTGTACAAAGTAGATCACTTATGTTCCATATATTCTTGGATTATCATCATTAACACATAAATCATTTATATCCTTTTTCTTTTATTTACCTTTCTCAAAAGTCTGGAAATCTTATCCCCATGCTCTGATGGTATAACGCGTGTGCTAACGGTATTGCAATCCATTCCTTTGCTACCGTTAGTACGAGGTACATTTCTAAAACTGTCAGGCTTTTTTCTTAGCAGTTTATTAAAGGCTTCTGCAAGGACAAAGACAGCGTCGTACATCAGGGCTGCTTGGGCTGATACGGTATCTTTTCCGGCTCCCTGTAAGGAAAGAAAAACGAGAACAAATTATCAAAATAAAATCTATAACCGAACTCATCAATTGATACTAATACAGCTTCGCCTGTAGTAAATTATCTCTTTATAACTCGAGGATGAGGATACCGTGGATAGAGAAGGTTAGAAATGAAGAGGTATTAGAAAGAATAAGAGAACAGAGGACTCTATGGAAGTCAATAAGAAATAGGCGAGATAGGTTAGTAGGACACCTTTTTAGGCATAAAGGGCTAGTTATAACAGAGGCAGAAACAGAAGTTAGCTCAGGATAGGAAACAGTGGAGGTGCGTGGCCAACCAGTCTTAGGACTGACGACTTTATGATGATGACGATAACTCGATTCCTATGATTCTAATGAAAAATCGAAGAACATACGTCATTCTTAGACTATTTCATATTATTTAATTGATATCTCAACTTTATTTGAAATTTTTAAATTTTTGTGTTTATTTTTCAACCTTTATATCTAATAGTTAGTCAGGACACCTCCACTCCTTCTTATGATACTATTTTATCTCTTTACTCCGGTTTGTGCTTCTAATCTGCCTCTAATTAGCTCCTTATATCTCAAATGATATCCTACTGTCCTAACCTTCGTTGACTTCTATATCGCCTTCTATCCACGGTATTTTCACCAATTTCCATTAGTTTATGGATTAGTTCGTGGGAACTAAATCAATGACGTAAACACAATCTTTTAGTAATTTTACTGTTATAAACTTACTCTCATTGTAATGGGGTCTAAGCGTCTCCAGCCCTCCAAAAAGGCTTTCACATTTGCCCTTGTCGTATCTATTATGCGGAAGCCGGTAATATTGACCGCACCATATTCCACCACTTCGCTTTCCCATCGATCATCCATAATCTACAAACGGAAGAAAACAAAACAATTTTTTTTTTTGTATAACTATAGTAACCATAAATCATTGACAAAAAAATGTAATCTTAAGATTAGATGAAGCAATAATAAGGAAGATACGTATTATATAAACTTTAAACTTCATCACCCAAAAAAAAAAACACTTGTGCAACTTAATCAATCGAAATTCAAAAACTATCAAGTTTCCAAGATATGACTTCATATCTTATAATTCAAGCTCGCTATTAATCCCTAAGGTATTCCAGATAAAATTGTTTATTGATTGTTGCTTAAAGGATACTACATACATATAGGTATAAGGACTCAATTGCTTTAAACAACAAAAACATTTTTTTGAAGGGCAAATTTTAATCTCCTAAAGTTCCTACAACGTTCTATACATCCTGTATAGACCAATATACACTTACCAGTCCCGATAAAAGATAATGATAAGTTCTTCTTCCCAATGCAACGTCTCTAACATGGCTAACAACAATTTCTTTTGCGGTTTCGGCTGAGCAATCAAGGACAACGTGTTTGGCGTCCCATCTGCGATATTCCTCAATATTTCTGAGGAAGTGCAATGCATCGGAAACGTTGCTTATCCTTCTCACGGTCGCTATCTTGAACGGCTCACTTCCTGGCGAAAGTCCTTGATATATTTGCTGTAACCTCAGTAATCCTGCAAATAAAATGGGGGAATAAATTACCATAAATTAGAAAGGACACGATTAATAGTCAATATTAGCACGTCGAATAAGGTCAAGGACTTATTTAAAGCATAACAGTTCTTTATAAAAGAAAATTGAAAATCTTGAATTTTATCTCATTTTTCGAAATTTATAAGATAAACCCGAGATAAAAATGTTCAGTCTCTCAGTCTCTGAAAGTAAGACTCGAGTCTCCGTCTCTCATCAATTCTCTCTGGTGTCGCTGAGACAGACTGTCGAGAGACTGTCAAAGAACTGTTTAGCGTCTCTGAACGAGAGACTCGAGTCGCTCAAAGGAGATCCTCATTTTGTATCCAGTCTCTGAACGAGAGACTCGAATCTCTGAACGAGAGACTCGAATCTCTCAATAAGTGGTGTCTCGATAGACATGGTTAAAATTTTCTAAGTTCAACATATTTCAGAGATCCCAGTCTTTCTACGAGAGACTCGAGTCTCCCAATTTTTCAGTTTTATTCATTCAGTCTCTCTGTGAGAGACTCGAATCTCTGAATTAACAATTTTATCGTTCGAGTCTCTCATACAGAGACTGTGAGAGATCCATAAAAACACCTAAGCAATAACTGAGAGACTGCGAAAGACTGTGAGAGACGCTCTCAGAGACGCTGAAAGACTCTGAAAGACTCTGAGAGACTGGAGAGAGACTGAAAATTTTTGACTATGGCAGTAACAATTTCTTCGGGATTCAGGTATAACTTAAATTGAAAAAATCGCTTTTATTACATTGTACATTTATAAATATCTACGTACCATCATGAGAATCATACAAATAAATGATGCTGTCCCATCCATAAAAATTTATGGTATCGATGATGGCTCTATGATAGTCAGGTCTGATGGATATGGCGTAGTCCAGAAATCCTGACGTAGGTGAAGGGACGTGTTCTGGGAACCAGGGTGTTACAAACGGGACTTGAAAAGTGTTGCTGTAGGAATGCAGAGTGTCGAAGGAATCAGGCGATACCGCTCCAAGGATACCGTGTACTCCTCTTTGAAATTGACCACAAACTTAAAAAAAAAAGTTAATTTATTTAAATACACGTTAATACTGAAGGTTATCTCAGAATAAGAAGGAGCGAAGAATATGGTTAATGTACGTAATATTAAGATTAATTAATTAAGAATTGGCGGAGGTGCTGGACAATGGGAAATTAGCTGTAGCACCGTAAAATAATCTAATTAAATTGAGATTGTTTTGAGTCTAAATTGGTGAATGTAAATGTAACTTGGTAAATATTTAGATGATGGCCCCCACCCCCGAAGAAGGTGGGTTTGGGTGAGATCGAAAGAGGAGGTCTCCCCCACCACCACTGTACCATTATTTTGACTTGAACATAGTAACTTACCACAATGGTTGTAACAATGTAAGTACGATTCTTTTGTACAAAATGGGTTGGTCTAATGTATTTGGCTACGATAGGTGTAAATCCCGTTTGATCGCTCCATTTAGCCACTTCCACCATAGCACTGTTTACAGTCATTTCCACAACGTGAAAAGTATAGTTCTGTCGTTTTCCTTCTTCATTGAACTGTATTTCTCCTGTTAGTCCTTCAATTTCAACCTGAAAGAAATAAAATTAACTTGAGGTCGTTTGTAGTGGACGGAAAATTGAAAATGAATAATGAATAATTGAAAACGTCAGTGCAAGAAATATAATACGCTATTAAATGTTTTTCCGAATTTTTGGATGCTTGTAAAAATGATTCAACATTTGCGAAGTAATAATTTAATTTCAAGGCATTTCCATTACATTTGATAGGATGAAATTATGCGAAGGAATAACATTGTCAATCATAAATTTTGGAAATCGTTTTTCTGATGTTCACTAATTAAATTTCTAATGGGTAGGGGAGACCGGGGATGGTTAACTATAGGGGTAGGTAGACTAACTACCGAAAACTCGTCGACAGTGTATGAACTATGTCATCTGATCATAGCCAAGCATTACATTTCGCGTCGTGTTGTCTGAAGCGCTACATCGCGGTCGTGCGTTGTTTTCGAACACTGACATGTTTTTCATATTTCAATCACATAAGTAATATTTTGATATATTGTATTTTTTGATCTGATGCCTACTCGTTTTATGTAAATCATTTTTCTATTAGTCCTAGCGTTTAATGAGGGCTCATTTATCATATTTCATATCTTATTTTTCAAGTCAACGGCAGTGTTTAGGCTAGCCATGCGATCAAAATTAAAAATGGCGTCTGGGGTTGGTAGACCA